TTTGGTCTCGTACAGGGTGCCGCTGAAATTTGAAAGACCAAAGTCCGCCCATGCCCAGATACTACTAAGTCTGGTACCACCTAGTGACTAATCTATATAATGACACTATCCGCAGCATCCGCAAGCTGGAGGTGAACAAAAGAGTAATTCCTACAGAGTTTTAATCCACAGACGCAATGTCAGTGTTGGGTCTCCTGGTGAACTAAGGGACTTTGCTGGTTCTTCATAGTCTCATATTATGGTCCCATTGGTGTAGAAACACAAGGGCATAAAGTGGGCTTTTGGGGGTACAGTGGTACCTCTGGTTACAAACACCTCGGGTTACAAACATGGGTTACAGACTCTGCTAACCCAGAAGCAGTATCTCGGGTTAAGAACTTTGCCCCAGGATGAGAACAGCGGGAGGCCCCATTAGCTAAAGTGGTACCTCAGGTTAAGAATGGTTTCAGGTTAAGAACAGACCTCCGGGACGAATTAAGTTCATAACCAGAGGTACCACTGTGTTTAGCTTTCCACACACCCTCCAATTCTCTTTACTGTGAGGGCCTGCCCCACTGCCCCCTCTGGTGCTTACCTCCTATGGATGCAGATCAGGCATCACCAGAGCTTGCTTGTGGAGATTGGCTGGGAGATGAGGTAGATAAGGAACAGCTGGGGAGAGATACAGCTGCTGACATTGAGGCGTCAGATTCCCTCATAGTTGAGGAGGTAGGGAAGGGGTGGGACAGAGTGGGCCTGTCTGGAATTCCAGCTGTGTCAAAGCCCAACAAATAAAAGGTGCTGGGAAGGCGCTCAAGAGACTGGCAGGCCACCGTGTGAGGCCTCAACCTGTGTGCAGCTGGTGCTTCAGCAGGAAAATGCCGAAGGGTATTCACTAGGGGAAAGTGGTGATCTAATACCCTGTTCCTAATAAACAATGGTATACCGAACTGTTTTGTGGTTGTGGTTATCTGTGTGCAGAAAAAGGGGGACTGGGGCATGGACACGAAACCTTTTGATGCCCATGGAAGGCCAACACTTATTCTTGTAACTTCAGGTAGTTATATTAATGTATTAATCATGCTTCAACATTCATGAACATGCAAACCACAGCTCAACATCTGGAGTGCTAATACAATGATGAAGTGGTGGAAGGAAGCGACATATATTTCTCTGGACGAGAACTCACTGCATCTCTCTACAGAGAATAAATATGTACTAGACTATATATTACATGCATGTGTATTTATTTAAAGGTAAAACACATTTCTACTAAGATTAATTAATAATACATGTACTGTTAATCAAAAATAATTTAGTTCTGTGTTTTCTTTGGAAACAACGATTTTACAAATTATGTGAAATGCCAGCAAATGAGGGCACATTTCCCTCCTAACTGTATGAATAGCACTTTTCAATTTGTCATTGTGACATTTCCCCCCTTTGAACTTTAAGTGAGCTAGCGGGGGGTGGGGGTGGCTGTTCTTTTCAGGACATTACCTAAACATTTTTTTAAAAAAACAAACATTTATATTAGAAATTTGGTCGCAAAATATATCTGCCTCCCGTGCCACTTTTTTAAAAATACAAATTGTACAGTAATAAATTTGTAGTCTATGTAAGAGGGCATTAGAAAGAAAAATGAGGTTACTTAGTAATTCATATTCAAGGCAACAATGACTGATATTTTTTTTAAAAAAAAAATTGTTAAAAAAATGACTGATAAAACTTCAGATAAAATTCAAAAGAGGAACTAGGTTAATCTATTGTATCAAAACTAGTGAGTTGTATCCAATGCTCTGTGAGTGGAACTCTTCTCATGCAACTAGACTTCGCCTCCTACTTCTCCTCACATGTGCTCCCCAAATCTGCTCCAGGGGGTCCCCCAACACCCTGGAGCTGATTTTGAGGGCACATGGTAGGCTGAATGAGAGAGGGGGGGGGGAATTCTGTCCTTGCACTAGCGAAACAGAAACATCAGATACCACTCAGTGCTTTGGGAGCACCTTAAAGACTAAGAAATGTATTGTGGCCTGCTTTTGTAAGCAGGGGACGGCTTTCTCAGCTGCATGAAGCGCATTAAGCAAATTCTTACCTACAAATGTTTATCCCCCCCCCCACAACTCCCCATTAATTATGCTGCGAGTTGAAGTACACACATCACCTATTCTCCTCAACATTAATTGTAAATGGGGAGCAGGGAAGAAACCGACCAGGACAACATCATACCCCACACAAGAACAACAACAACAACAACAACAACAACAACAACAACAACAACAACACACCCATGCATAAAAGCACAAGTGAAAGAGGCTTCTCTCAAAAGGAAGTCATTTTAATCCTGGAATCATTAGGACATTGGCAGATATATGGCACATTTATTTTGCGTACTTTCCAAAAGCGTAGCTGAGTCTTTGATTTTCGCACCTAGTCCAATATCCCAAAGGTAAACTGTCCTCCTTTCCTTTTGGGTGGATGTGTGCAAAGGCCTTTCGAGGCATCCAGGAAGTCTCTATCCTCCTGACCTCCTGAATTGTACTGCCAGCCTCAAGCACCTGCTACTTTGGGAAAGGCTGCTTTCCCAGTCTTTATAGCATTTATTCTGCAGTCCCTGGGGTCACAAGCTGAACACAAATTGGCTGCAGCAGAGACCAGAAAATGGGGGCTATTCCTAAGCTAAAGTTGTTTGGAAGGGGCCTTATTTTTTCTGCTTGTGAGGGAGATGTTGCTTTTCTCTCGAATCTCAGAAAACCATCACCTGGAGGCAAGCATAAAATAAATACCATAGTATCCCTGTGCAACAAATGGGACATAGCCATTCCCCCCTCCTTTTTATAATAAGGCCCTGAGCTGACATTATGTGATATTGCAGAAACCCATTATGAACACACCAAACAATGTACCAAGTATAAAATAAAGCAAGCCTACTTACTTTGGAGGGTCTTTCCTATGAGAAACTCTGCAGAGAATAGTCAAGTTACATTAGGAACTATGGTAACTAAAACACAGCGGGCATATAGGTATTCACTACAGGAAATGTAATATTATAAGTAGTAATAAAAAAAAGTTCGTAAAATGGGATTCTGGCAAAAGCCTAACCACATTTGCATAAAGGTTTCTCCTAGGGTTCCATAGGATCAGAGCAAAGCCTCACAACATGAAGTACCCTTGGGTTTTCCCTAGGAATTTCAAAGACCCAGAGCATGGCAGGTGGAAAGCGACTGGTTAAAACTGCTCTTCTGTTTCTGACAGTTTCCACTGTTACTCCACAAGGCGCTTTCTATATATTGCTTGCCATATGGTTTTGGTATTAATTTACTCATTTTTATTCTGTTTTGTTTCGTTTCTTTCCACCTTCTCTCATTCTGTCACAAGAATATTAAACACATTTAAGGCTTCTTGGGGAATTTCCCCCACCTTTGAGAAATTACCTATTGCTATCTTCCACATGCAAGTCCAAGGTTGGACTTTCAAGGCAGCCGAAAATGTCAATGTTTTATTCATTTAAATCATTTCTATACCCCGCTTACATTTCAAAAAAATCGCCATCATCATCCCTACAGCATCAAAGGCAACATTACTAAATATCCAAATAAAACATTACAAATGGAAATGAAATACAAAATATAATAAAGCTCTGCATTTCAGTCATTATTTTTAATCATAGCTATTTGTTTTTAAAAAAGGTAAAGGGACCCCTGGCCATTAGGTCCAGTTGTGACCGACTCTGGGGTTGCGGCGCTCATCTCGCTTTATTGGCTGAGGGAGCCGGCGTACAGCTTCCGGGTCATGTGGCCAGCATGACTAAGCCGCTTCTGGCAAACCATGGCAGCGATTTGTTTTACGCTGCTTTAAATTCCTGAAACCCATATAGACTAATCCCACACCTTGAAGGAAAAGTGGTATCTTTATGAGATGAAGGTCATCTCACATTTAACAGGCCCAGTGTGACTGAATGGCAAGCACAGGGCAATTGTATTCGGGAGGTCTGGATTCAAGACTTTGCCACACAGTCACCAGAAGAGCTTGCCTGCTGGATCAAGCCAGTGGCCCACCTAGTCCAGCATCTTGTTCCCACAGTGGCCAACCAGATACCTTTGGGAAACGTGCAAGCAGGACCTGACCACAAGAGCATACTTCCTTCCTGAGGATCTTAGCAACTAGTATTTAAAATCATTGCTGCCTCCTACCATGGAAGCCGAGTGTAGTCATGGGAAATGAGGGCAGGTCACATTGACTTTCAGTTGTATCTGAAGGGTGGACTTGCCTCTTTTAGTGGGGCAGAATCTGCAGTCTCTCCTTTTTGCTTAGTTTTTAGCTTTTTACTTGTATTGCTCTGTTTTTAGCTTTTTGTAATTATTTTTAATCGGTCTTAATGTCTACCCCTTTGAGTTACTTGGAAATTCAATGAACAAATATACAAATGTTTGATGTTTTACTGTGTTTTAAGTTTTAATTTGTTGGAAGCCACCCCAAGTGGCTGAGCGGCATGTAAATAATGAATTATGATGATGATAAATTATTATAAATAATGGTAGGATGTAAAGGTAAAGGGACCCCTGACCATTAGGTCCAGTCGTGACCGACTCTGGGGTCGCAGCGCTCATCTTGCTTTACTGGCCGAGGGAGCTGGCGTACAGCTTCCGGATCATGTGGCCAGCATGACTAAGCCGCTTCTGGCGAACCAGAGCAGCGCACGGAAACGCCGTTTACCTTCCCGCCGGAGCGGTACCTATTTATCTACTTGCACTTTGACGTGCTTTCGAACTGCTAGGTTGGCAGGAGCAGGGACCGAGCAACAGGAGCTCACCCCGTCGCGGGGATTCGAACCGCTGACCTTCTGATCGGCAAGTCCTAGGCTCTGTGGTTTAACCCACAGCTCCACCCACGTCCCTCAATGGTAGGATAGTAGACGACAAAAACAGCAATATATTTCACAAGGTTGATATAAACATAACAGAGACTGTGAAGCCCTTTGAAAAATCATAGAAGAGTTGGAAGGGCCCATGGGAATCTTTTGCCAGACATGGGACTTGAACCCATGGCCCTGAGATTAAGAGTCTCATGCTCTACTAACTGAGCTCTAATATGACCAATGTTATATACACATTGGCAATCAAATGCCAATAAACGTTTGGAGGCCAACTCCAGATAATTCCCCCCCCCCATCACATTGGTTCACGTTGCCCCTCCCACCCCTCTTGTGGAATATGGCTCCAATATGCATTTGCCCATACTGATCTGGCTGGGCCTCTTGTGACTATATACTCTGGGAATCAAGTGCATTGAACGACCACCTCTGATCTCCAAAATCTAGAGAACTCTCATCTGTTCATGGTATCATGCTACTAAAATGCTGGTGTTCACTCATTTCCCAGGCCAAATACTTCCCCACACTAATGTTTCATTTTGTAAAGGCTTTTCAATGCTGCTCCTTAAGGAATATTCCAATTACCTTCTCTCGTATTCTCACGTTCAAAAGCCTTGAGGCTAACATTCCTTCAGGAGCACCTTGAAAATTGATACTGAAGCTTGGCTGCCGCTTTAGAAACATTTGTGCAGTTCCAATTAAGGGCAGTGCTCTCTTCGATTTTTTAAAATTTTTTTTTAAGTGCCTTGGTTGCAGAAAGTGTACGAAAGAGTGTTAATTTGTAAATTGGGGTTAGATTGGGATGTTAGAAAGCAAAATATTCCCGAGTATATATGCATGTGAAATTATTACAGTGAAGATATTTGATTCCATTTAAATAATGCAATTAAAGCCTTTTGCACCCCCCCCCAAAAAAAAACGTCTGAAGCCCAGACTCTTTTTAATGGTTTATACTCTGGGGAGAATGCATAGGTATGAAGCTTAATAACATATTTTAATAATGTTGTGGATACTGACAAATTGATCGCAGCAGTCAGAGGGGGGAAACAGCTGATGCAACCGGGGCACCAGGATCATGTTTTCCTAGACATGGCAAGGGCCACCCAGATTGTCAAAGAAAGTTGATAGCTTTAAAAACTGACCTCTGAGTTTTGGCTTGATCTGACTTCCTTGTTTCCAGCCATACTTAATTATTTCTAAAAGGGAGAAATATTTTTTGCAAAATTATAGATCAAGGTTTGGCCTCACAGAAGAGTAAATGCACCAATACAGAGTTGTTTATTGCAGTGTAACACAATTACAGTTTGCTACCACTGCATATATCTGAAGCTTTGGGGAAAGTGTTACTGATTCTCTTTTGCTACATCACCCCCATCCCTCATATATACAGTACACGCAACACTAAACAGCGGAAGCGTGTTTTCACAGACATGCTTAGGTCCCCACCCAATCAAACTTAAACAGCCATTCCTCCTTATTAAACAACAAGTCTTTGTCCATATAAGAGTCTCTCCGCTATGATCATATATTGAGATTATTCCATAGTTCTTTTCTTGTTATGAAAAACTGGATGGAATCAGAATGAAACAAAACTAACTTTTTACTCAGTACATGGGGGGGAGGACCTAAGTGCTGAACAAAAGTATAAACATTGTCATCAAATATCAAAAAAGTTTGCTCAATGCTAACTTCTATGTAGGGATGTTTGTTTCAGAAAGGTAAATCTGAATACAGAAATATGTATTGGACAAATTTTGAATTTAAGTGCTCTCAAATGCCCATAAGGGCGCATTAACTTGGAAGTAAACCCCATTGAACTCAACGGAACTAATTTTAGTACTTAGTAGACATATATAGGAATGTACTGATAGTGTGCTTTTCGACTTAGATGACAAGCAGATGCTATCTAAAGTAAGTTTTAATCACCTGCTGCTTTTAAGTCATGGTTTTGTTTTTTAAAAAGTTTTAATTGTATGGAGATATTTGTTGTGAACCATCTACGGGGCCTTTTTGAGGGCAAAAGGGTCCAGAATCATAGAAATGAAGAGTTGGAAAGGTTCCTGAGAGTCATCTAGTCCAATCCCTACAATGCAGGGATCTCAACTAAACTTCCATCTGCTTAAAAACATCCAACGAAGGAGAACTCACCACCTTCCGGTGGGGGTCTGTTCCACAGTCTAACAGCTCTTTCTATCAGAAAGTTCTTCTTCAGTTGGAATCTCCATTCCTGTAACTTGAATCCATAGGTTCAGGTCCTAGCCTCTGGAGCAGGAGAAAACAAGCTTGCTCCATCCTCCATGTGGCAGTCCTTAAGATATGAAGATGGCTATCATATCTCCTCTCAGTCTCCTCTTATGGAGGTTTAAATATGCCCAACTCCCTTAACTGTTGCTGTATACTTTATATAGTATATAAATTATACATATATATATATATATATATATATATATATACACACACACACACACACACACACACACACACACATAAAATAAAAAGTGAATGCAAATTGTGAGAATTTTGAAGTTTTTCTGAAGTGATATCTGCCTTATGGTTTCACATGTATTTGATACCATATTTGTATTTGATATCACTGAGGTGATATTTGCCTTATGGTATGGACTACAACTGCATGTGGTATTCACAACCAGTTGAGGCCCTATATTCTGTAAAACCTGTCCAGTATTTATTTGAGGACATTTCCTAGGCTTTTGGTCAACATGGAGTTGAGCCGGTTGTAGTTTCCAGCTGTCGCCTTTGCCTTTGCCTTTTCCTCTGAGATAGATGGTAACCTGTTATTAATACCTGAGGAAACAAAGACAGGCTGGAAAAATACGATGACATCTATATTGCCGTGTATACACACTGCCCTCAATAGCAACAAATTAAGGAAGAAATCGTAACTGCTACACTCCTTTCCCTTGTGCAGTTTTCTGTTCTTCTCTCGTCGTCCCCCCTCCCTCGTCTAATAGATGAGTGAGCTCTGAGGATCTATCACTGTAAAATAGAGATTCCATTTGAGTATGTCAAATGAGTCAACGGCCTAGCCTTCCCATTGGAGTCATTTATGAACAGCGGGAGCACGTCCAGCAAAAAGCCATTCCTTACAAAGACCTCACAAGTTGACCCATCTTCAGCAGAGAATCTCATAGGGGGGCTAGCCGGATTGGGTTTTAGAGAAAGGCAGAGCCCTTCTGCAAAGAATGTAATGGTTAGGTGGAACCATGGAAGAATTTCCCAGAAGGAAACCTTATCATACTCTTTTTCCCGCATCAGCTACTCCAAAAATTTATCAGCGATGATAGTATAGGAAAAAATGGACTCGTATTAGAGCCTGAAAAATGCATTGCTTCTCCCAGACAGGCATGCAACTTCCTGGCACCAAATCCCAATATGATTCTGGAGAATTACTTTTCCTGCTTGACCCCATGTTTTTGGACTCGGTTTAAAAAAAAAAGTCTCTCTTGCAGGTATGTTAAAAGGCTCAGTTTATCATCTGGTGACAGCTGATGAATGGCTGAGAAAAGCTAAGTTTCTACTTAGGAAAACAAAGCAAAACACTAGGACTTCTACTAGCACCCCCAATTAAATAAATTCAGAAACCTAGTTAATTAGTCTTACAAGTTTTAGGCAGTTAACCAATGGTTTTCACCTGCATATATTAGCAATAATTTGAGGGGGAAAGGGAATTTGATAAATAATTTCTAAGAGGGTGTGTCACATGTTGTCTTTGTTTTCAGTAGTGAACACATGTCTTACAACACACATCACCTGCACCCTATCCTGCCTGAAAGATAATGGGAAATGCTTCTGGAACGCCTATATGCCACTATATATATATATATATATATATATATATATATATAATCCAAAGCAATGCACAGAAAAGAAAAAAACAACGTAAAACCAAAATACAAAAATTAAGAATACTGTGATGGTGCAACAGGGAGCAGAGTGAGAGGAGCAGAGAAGATGAGGACAAGGAGTGCCAGAGGAACAACTTGGTGCTGAGGAGGAGCCTGTCGTTGGGAGATAAATTCATCCAGCCATTGGCTACTTTTGGAGCGGGGCGGGTATATCTTTATAGTTGCTGCAGGTGGTGGATCACAAATGGTGGGTCAAACCTGGCAGAGGCGACTTTGAAGAGGTGGGACCCAAAGCGGTTAAATCCTTTGGGGTTTGTTGTTGTGTCTTGGAGTCTCAAAGAGGGCAAAGACACACCTCTCAGCTGGGTTCTTAATCAGGTTACTGCGAAGGATTTCAACCAGAACGGCTGGTCAGAGAAGGAGAAAATTATATGGCTGAAAGCCCTGAGTAAGATCTGGGAAGATTGGCCAATTCCAAATTTTGTTCATACTTTTTAAAAGCACGCTTAACCTGATCACTTTTATTTTGAGTAAAAGGACCATCATTTACAACACACTCCTGATCTGCTGAAAATCCTGGTTGCTATTTATACACTTCAGGGGAAAACAGCACAAAGAGTCATTCTCAGCAGAAAACTGTTGTGAGACCTGTATCTAGATTGGGAGCATGTTCTTGATGGGAGCATCCCCCCACACCCCCAAAGTAAAGCATGCTTTGGTTAAGCATACTTTTCCTTGTCTCTTTTCTTTTTGCTTCGTTGTAACATCACCTGTAATTTTGTTCTGACTGCTATGAAGTTTTGCTGGATTCCATCTGATCTCTCCTTACTTTTAAACATCTGCATGAACTTGACTGAATCCGTCCAGAGTGAGGTCATCCATATGCTGATTACATACAGCTTTGCTTCTCTTTTTTTAAAAAAAAATCAGATTCAGGTGATGAAATTGAGGTGGTGAACCACTTCTTGAGACTGGTAATAAACCAAATGATAGCCAGTAATCTGAATCTCAATCCCGAGAGAGGAGAGCTTCTGTTGGTAGGTAAGTTTCATCCTCTTTTGGACATGGTTCCTTCAAAGGACCAAGTTCATTAGTTTTGGGGCACTGTGTGTTCAGCATTGTCGGTGGAGGCCACTGTGACACCTACAACTCTCCTGGTCATAGGTAGTGAACACCCCTTCATTGGAAGTTTTTAAACAGAGGTTGGGTGTCCATCTGTCAAGGGTTCTTTAGCTGTGATTCCTGCACTACAGGGGTTTAGACCTAGATAGCTCAGTTGGTTAGAGTGTGGTGCTGATCATGCCAAGGTTGCAGGTTCGATCCCTGTAAGGGACAACTGCATATCCCTGCATAACAG